CCCCCCCCACCCCCCGGGTTCGATATTCACTGCAAAACAAGATTTTCTTGACCGTATTCAATAGTACTTCGATCGGACAAGTGATAAATACACTAGAAGTGGTCTGCATTCATAAAAACGTATAACCAACAAAAAAGAGGCTTATGGGGGAATCATGCAATGAGGCATAATATTAACACAAACAATRAAATAAATACGAATTCGTATTTTACAGTTCTTTAATCAAGAATGTACAATAGTACTTATCTTATTATATTAATCCCATTAATAACTATAATAATTACCAGAGTTTTATAAATAGGTAACAAGGGGCTATTTTTCATGACAGACATTTTCATTGGTTCCGTACTGACCATAAAATGGTCTCCCACAGGCTCCTGTTTTCCCTATGGAAGGCTTGGTTTTAAAGCTGTCTTTCTCCTCCTTTGTAGATTTAAATAATATCACACTCTTTTCTTCTTTAGTTTTCTAAACTAAACTAAACATTTTACAGTAGTCGAGACTTAATATATATTTTTAATTTACAAGTTTTGTTTTGATCCAAACCCGTCTTGTCAACTATACGATGAACGATGATCCTTCCCTCTATAGAGTGTGTTCATGCCAGCCATGTTGGTTGCTTAAACAAAAGAATTTTTTTTTTCCTTGGGAAATAAGTTTTCTTGTCATGCAAAAAATATTGCATTGTTTCTGGCACCAACATGGCTGCCGTGAACACACACTATTTGAATGATGTTGTAATAGTGTTAGTACAGGTTGAATTCAATTATTTGTTGTGGTATGCGTAGATACTTTTAGGTTGCTTTTGATTACACAAGTACGTCTTGTCCCATCCCTTGCGTCCATTCTGTGCGTACCATCGCATGCAAGGTAGACCCTTTATCGGCCCCTTGAGAGACCACACAAAGCTATAGAAAGCAAAAGAAGACATTCCGGTTAAAAACTCACCTAAAAGTTTTAGTTTTTAGTTCAAATGAGGGTCTCATCTCTTATCCCCGATCCGACGGGAAAGGTGCGGGAAGTGGATGAAGTAAACACGTGTGGCGTTAGCTACTCGTGCGTCGCCTCTCACCAATGCGACCCGGGTTCGATTCCCAGGTTCTATTTTTTATCAGGTTCTCCGGTTTTAAGTCGTCTATGCTTATGAACTAGCTTCTAAATTCCAATCCGATCTTTCTGTTATCGACTAGTTTGGAGCATAGCTCTGTTGTGGATGCCCCACGCTTTGATACAACAAATCGTAATATATTTTTTAATCATAATTTGTAGTGGTACATGGTAGTAATTGTTGAAATACTCGAAGAAATGGCTAGAGAGGGAGATAATATGCACAGCGATAACCGRGATAACAATGACAGTCTTTATTTTCCAATCAAATTAACATTACTTACTGATATGTCGAGTCGGTAGGAACACAGAGATAGTTTTTCATCCAGCTTCCTCTACGATACTTGTTCTCAATAGGGTTGTATATCCTGGTGCAACGCATATTAGGGATTGGTCCATTATACGACCACATGATACCCGGATCACTTCTGGAGCTTGAAGTACAGAAGTAGTAGTGGATCCATTTGAAGTAGTTAAGGAGATCGTATGTGCGAAGACAGTTGCCGGTTGGAAGTGAGTTCATGTTCATGGAGTACGAGAAGTCTTCGGGAAACACTGGTGGACCTGGAAAAAGTGGAATAAAAATGATTTAACAAAATTGGAGGACACAGAGAACACTGTCATCCAACATGGCCGCCACTTTTATTTCCTTAGGAATGATTACAAACCTCCTATAGTGAACATCATCCAACATGGCTGCCACTTTTATTCCCTTAGGAATGATTACAAACCACCTATAGTGAACATCATCCAACAT